AACGCGCGTTTTGGGTGAAATACGGGCATGCCATAATTACGACAGTAATTCAGCCCGGATTTCACCCAGAATCGGGTTTTTTAGGCAGATTCGAGCCAAATGAGAGGGAGACGAATTTTTGGAGCGCAAATAGAGTTTTAGAGAGAGAAAGTGCAAAGAACAAACCCTAGGAGCTATTTGGAGTGGATTTCTCACCATTGAAGCCCAGATTGCATCCCCCATGAGTGAAGATCGACATCCCAGAGCATATTATTCTCATCTTTATGAGTATGGCTGCTCTGATTTCAGTTTTCCTCTCTCTCTCTATGAAGTAGAACTTTCTCTCACTTGGGTATGAAGAACCCTAGTTCCATGTGTTAGAGATCTTGATTGTAATGAAGTTTGGATTGATATACTGCTTGGTTATAATCGACTGATGCATGATTCATTGAGTCAATTGAAGCCTGATCAACTTTTCTTGATTTCTGCTGCAACCTTAGATAGATAGAATCTGATTAGGCTGTTAGAGCTTCATCAATCGGTAGTAGTGAATTGGTTATACGCGAGATAATCGATTCACTGCTTTGTATTGGAATCCAATTCCGGTAATGGAGTTCTGTGTTTATTGCCTCAACAGTCTATCCCGGTGAAGGCTAGTCGCTTGCCGGTTAGTCTGTTTGAGAGGGCTTGGTCAGCTTAAGAGATTCCAAGCTACTGTCGGATCTTTCGCAGTTTAATCAACAGTAACTCAACCAAAGGTACTTACAACTTTGACCTAACTAAGGAGCTAGGGGGACTCATTCCCAAGTGACTCTTCCCCTACTTAAGAGCTTTGAACCATTTCCTGCTTTCTTATTGCTTTAGCTAAAATCACATTCACTCAACTTAGTTTGCTAGATAATAAATCATCACGGAGTAGGCAGTAGATCCAGACCCCGGGTTGATAAATAGAACTTGCCACTATTCTGCATTTATTGACTGCGATTACACTTGGTCGCAGCTCGGTGTTGTGTTTTAGCGTGTCATTGTGCGAGTGGACAAGTTGTGTCACGCTTTGGTTTGTGAACAGTAGAAAGATTATGCATGTGCATAATCTTGCTGCGATCGGTTTCCATTTGCATGGTCATTGAGGTTGCTGCAAAGCAGTCAAAATTGGGATTTTACGTAAAATAAAAAATGGGGTAAAATCGGAATCTTAAAATCAAATTGTAAAATTGTAGGATTTTAAGGTCCATATAAAAATGAATAGGGGATACTATTAGTAAGGAAAATCATGAATAACACAAAAGCACATAACACTTACAATGATAATTTTTCAAGGTTAATATTTCAATTTATCAAGGTTAATGTTAAGAGGTGGTGAATCAATGATGATTAATACGTTGATGTGAATTGATTATAGTCGATGGTGGTTAGTGTGAGAGAACTAGATGATGTCGACCGAAGAGAAGAAAAAGAGGAGTAAGTTTGCAAATTCTGAGGAAAATAAGTAAAATTGACTCAAAGATTTGAATCGTAAAATCATAAGATTTTAAAGATTAAAATCGTTAATAATGTAGGATTTTAAGGTCCATAGATTTTATAGTGAAATCAGAATCGGAAAAGGTAAGTAAAATCATAAAAGCGTAGGATTTTAGGATTTAAATCGGGATTTTGACTACTCTGGTTGTTGTTGTTCATGAGTTGGCACTATTTGACTATTGAGATCGATGTGTTTTGTGCCATATGTCATCTCCCAAAGAAAATGTTTTGATTTGAAAATCTGATAAGCTGCCTTGTAACTGACTTGGTTTGCTTAGGGACAAGCAAACGGTCAAGTGTGGGGGAATTTGATAACGTTGTATTTGAACATGTTTTTTCCTTCATTTCTTGATCGTTTGAGTTCGCTTTCTTGCTCTCGTGGCCTATTTTACGCTAGGTTGTGTTGATTTATGATGTTTCAGGTCCTAGTACATGAATGGGTGCGAATGAGCGAGTTTTGGGACGGTTTGGAGCGGCCGAGCAGCGAGCAGGAAAAAGTTACGACCAAACCCTGAAAGTTACGGTCTGGACCATAACTTCCCCAAAGAGCCTGTAACTTCTGGAGAAGCGGGGTTGAGATTCCAGGAGGTTTCTTGATGTTACGGGCCAGTAGAAGGAGTTACAGCAGTAACTTTGGCCGTAACTCGCGAATCTTCAGCAAATAAAAGGGGAGCTCGTGAAAATTGCAAAGGGATCGGATTTTTGGAGATCTAAAGGCAGAAAGAGAACCCTAGAGAGAGAAAGTGACGAAGAACAAGACCTCGGAGCTCGATTCCTCACTCTCGGAGTATCGATTAGCCGCTTGAAGTAGATTTTCATTGTCCACATGATGATTTTTCCTCCTAGCTTGATGTTTCCTCTTCTCTCCATGGAGTAAACTCCCTTTTCATCTGGGTATGAAAAAACCTAGTTTTGTATGTTAGGAATGGTTGTATGAATCCCATTTGTGAATGATTGATTCGATATATTCAATTGAGGAATTAATTAGAATTCCATGAGTCTTGATCAAACTTTTGGGATTCCTTCTTTAACTTAGAACGATATTCTCTGTGTAGGTTAAAAGAGCAACCTTAAATTGGATGTGGTAAATCGATTGCTTTAGTCGAGAAATCAATTCACTGCTGTGTACTGGAATTACAGCCAGTAGAAGAAATTTGGTGTGTTATTGCCTTGGTTAGTTTATATCGGTGGAGGTTAGTCGCCCGCGGGGTATTCGAAATGAGAGGGTCTGGATTACTTTAGTCGAGATTTCAGACTTGTAAAGAACTTTTCGTAGTATATCTATCAATCGGAGTAAAGCCTAGGGGGAATCATGTTTGGTTGACCTTTAGCATTTGAAGAACTCACTACACTTAGTTTGCTAGATAATAGAGGTTTACGAAGTAGGCAGTAGATCTAGACCTCGGGTTGATAAATTAAACTTACCCACTATTCTACATTCCCATTCTACGATTACACTTGGTCGTAGTTTTGTGTTATGTTTTAGCGAGTCACATATTTTCAAGTAATTTCCTTATGAGTTTTAAGTAAGTGTTTTACATGAAATGTTTGCTAGTGATTGATTTATATTGTGATTGATGATGCATGCTCTAATTGAGTTTTGGTTTTGAAGTATATGATTACGAGCTTTTAATATTTACTTGAAGCTTTTGTATTTATGATTATTTATTGAAGGTTGTCTGATCTTTAAAGATCAACATTTAAGAGGTATTTCACTCCTAATTAAATTAGGGTGAAAAGATTTAAAGGTAGTTCACTAACGCCAGTCTCCCGCCCCAGTGAAAGTTTAAAGGAAGTGTAGGTTTGGTCTTGAGAAACATGTGGATGAATCACTTAGACATCACATGAAGTTTAAAGTAAGAGTATGAAATACTCTTAATGTTTATGGGATTGAATCGATTTTACTCTCATAAAAGGTTAGCCTATGTTGGCTCTCATACACATGAGTTAGGCGGCTGGACTAGTTAGTGAGGGGATCCCAGTGTCGGTCAAAGGTTTAATATTTTTGAGAGTGGCGAGTAACAGTAACTCCCACGTTTTAAGAGATAAAATTCAAAGGGTGGAAGTATAAATAATTTCCTCAAGTTTTGAGGTGAACACTTGACAGAATACCCTTAAGTGCTTCAAGTCAAAATAATGACGTAGACTGACCCCAAACTCACCAGGTCGTAGAGGAGGAACTAGGAAGCCTCTAGTGAGAGAGAAAGCGACTACAGTAGGACCATGTGAGCACTTCTGAAGATGTCTTATCACGGATCTGAGTGAGCGAACATTTGAGACTTGTAGTTTATTTACTTTATGATAATGAGTAATGACTTGAGATTTAAAAGATTAAGACTTTATAGATTGAGGTTTTCCCAAGTGTTAGGGTTTTGCTTTTGAGTTATAAGAATTTATTTATCAGTATTGGTATTTTGAGCACATTAATATTTCCTTTCTTTCAAAATTTTAAATATGCTCCAGAGCAAAATATTATTTAAATGTTTTAGACATTGGGATGTGACAATGGATATGCACATTTTCATGTACTGTTCGTTTTCAGGCGGTGGTGGTAATTGTAGAAGAGGAAGCTTCTGGGAGTTTAGGGAAGTATTGATGAAGGTGATCAGGCGGTGGTGGTGGAGAGAAGTGATTATTCTTTTAATGATTTTTATTTCATTTGATTAAAATTACTTTATAATTATTGTAGTTTATTTACTTTGTGATTCTGAGTAATGACTTGAGGTTTAAAAAATTAAGACTTTATGGATTGAGGTTTGGCCAAGTGTTAGGGCTTTACTTTTGAGTTATAAGCTAGTGTGTATTTTATGCTCTCAACTAAACTCTCTCATTCACTACTACACGACCCTTAACCACCAATCTATTGTTATTTTCAAAACAACAAAAAGCAAACACTAGTATTAGTCTTCTCTCAGCCTCCAATTCATCAAATTAAAGATTACAAATTACAAAAACTTGAGATGTCACCTCTCCTCCATTCTCCTTATCCATATCCAAGCTCTAGCCGAACTTAAGAATCTTTGTTTAGTCTCTTTGTCCTATATTAAACATTCAAATTAATTTATATATTAATTATTAATTGCAAAGGTAATTAATTTCTTATTCGATAGTACCGATTGGGATACCGAAATATTTAGGGCTTGAGAATGGGATACCAAAATTATTTAGAGATTAGAATTGGGATTGAATTTAGGATGTAATTCGGTATTCGTGATTTCGATATTTGGTATTGGGATACCGATACCGTACCGATTTCCACCCTTACCCATGGTTATGCAGTCTATCTTGAGCCAAGAAGGGAGGGAGGGCTTTGGGAGAGAACGAAAAACACAGTTTGAAAAATATTTGCAGCGCAGCAATCACAAACGGTTTTGCAATACAAGTGTAAATTACATGTCACCAATTGGAAGAATCTGAAAATGAAAGGGGGCTGGCGGTACGAGAGGTAATGATGTCATGGCAACATACTGAATTCGAGTAAACTCTTTCTTTCGTCTTGGCTACCGAAATAGCTTGAAATAGAGAACCACTAAGATGGCAAGGACTAAAGCTGCAATGATGCAACCAACCATCCTCTTGTTCCTGTTCATCCTTCTTGACATTACCGTCAATACCTTCTTACTTCTCCCAATGTTGTCATCTACCCCATGCAGCTGCACATTATGTACCCAACCAATCCAACATTCATTGAGCTTGTTTTCCAACCATTCTGAAATGGAAAACCTACTATTCTAGTTTCTATTTTTCTTATAGGAACAATACTCACAATTAAGAGGAAATAAATTGTACTTTTAAGTATACAAAATGCTAAACTGTTTCTTACGTTTTTGTTTCGCATGTCATGTCGAGCAGAAGATAAGCACAAGGCAAACAAAAGAAGTGGGATGGGAGAAGGAGTTGATACCGTGCCATGGGCGTGCAAGAGAGCTTGACGTTGCTGATGCAGATCTTGAAGGATGGATACTCCAAGCTCTTCTGTTTCCAACATTGTTCTTCTGCTGTCTTTAATTCGGTCGCTGGATTGGTTAAGTCTCTCTGTCGACATCAATAGCCTTCCTCGTTGGTTTGAAGACACCTGTTTCATCCTCAGAAAGTTTACTCCAAATACTTGTCAAAATCAGAGTAGCTCAACTTAGCACCACCCAGCTTTCCTCATTGATTATTACTATTTGCAACTATATTACCATGCTATGCAAGTGTAAACCCTTTTCAAAATGCATCATTCCGCACAGCCTTGCAGAGAAGTTCTATTTTAAGCCGGGCATCACTTCCATTTTCAACACTGATTGGGCCTGGATGAAAAGTATCAGTGTTAACGTGAAACTATGTGCTGCGCTCTATATGAATCACAATGCTATACGTATTAGCTCCAGCAATGCATCAAATTCTTTTAGAAATTGATGAGAGAACTTATATACTGAAATCTAGCTACAAGAGTAGAGCATGACAGCACGCAGTCTTGCATCACATTTCTGAATGTAATATCATCTACTGACAAGTAGAGCATAACGGATTAGAACAACACTCAGCATTGATCTCTATGATAATACATCAACCCTTCCTGATCCTTTTGAATTTCGGCAGTTAAAAAAATAGTTGATTTGGGCTCCAGTTCTGAATGGCAACTCATAAAATAGAGAAAGCAAGTACAAGTGAGTTTGAAACAAGATAGCAGAAGCATAACAGTAAGAAAACTGGAAAACAATAAAAACTGTGTAGCAGGTTAGAAAACAAGGACGGAACACACTCCGAACTATAGTTTCACCAATCAAAAAGGATGAATGACAATAAGGAAAATTCAGATACAAGACATACATACCGTCTTTGCATCGGCCATTCCAGATTCCAGCAGTTCATCTCTGGCAGCCTGGCTGACATTAGAAGATGAGATTCTCTTAACTTCACTCTTCAAATTGATTAGATCAGTTTTATACTCCCGTATCTTAGCAAGAAGGGGCGATTTTATATTTGGTGGCAAGCTCCTTGCTTCCAGGTCCATTTTCCGAATCTGGAGAGATTTAGGTGAAGATCAGGTATTAAGACCAAGTTACTGGCATTTGAAATTGGGATAGGGATACTGACATTACCAAGGCATCAGCATCATCCAATCCAGTTTTAACTTCAGAAAGATTCTGCTTCTTCTGCTCTGTAATTCAAGAATTCACAACTCATCATTTTAAATTAACCTCACAAACGAGGAAAAACTCCATTTGAGGTCGAGTTAACAAAACGTCGATTTAATTTCCAGAGTCGCATAAACATATGACATTTGCGAACTAATTTGGCTGCCATCAACAGCAGACAAACAAATGGTTTGATACAGGTTGCATGGAAAGAGAAATAGTTTACAAAAATCTGTACCGGTTTCAGCAGCTTGTAAAATCACACTATAGAAATAATAGCTCTATACATTTACTGATTTACAGAATGCTCTGAAATAGAAATTCAACAAATTGAATACAGAAGCAGCATGCAGTCATTTGCAAGATGCTTCTGGACACAGGAACTAAGGTTAGACTTCTAAAGAACATCAAATTAACCGTGATTCCGTGATTCATCAAATATGAGACTTTTTGGGGGACACCATGCATAGAACTGAGAAAAATCCAATCAAGTCCCATTTTCATTCTCCTTGTTCGCTTGGCAGCAATATGTTATGCAAACCCACCCGTCAGTTTGGGATCTCGCATGATTGACAGAAAACTCCTATCAATACAAGAATGCTAGCGAGAGTTGATGCTTATGACTGCAATAGTATGCAAGATTGTCACATGCGCATATGTGCTAATGCAAGTAGCTAATCTGTCCTTTCATGGGACAGAGACTAGGGTTCATTCCTCTAGAGAACATATCCAATCATCAGGGAATTCTTGGTTCAAGCAGGGAATTAATCCCTCAAACCCATAGAAAACAAAATCGTAAAGGAAAACTAAGCAGATATTTCATATAACCATTTGATCAAGCAGCATGAATCAAGACCATTCAATTACCAGTGCTTCACGCAAGCTTATGGTTCGGTTTCTTTACCTCCAAGGAGGACACTAGTGGAGGTGCATTTCCGCGACAAATTAGCGGAAAGCTCACAGTATTGACGCTCATATCCTTCGAATACCTGACTCATCGCTCTCTTTCAACCTTCCAGAGTTCATGGCACAAAAAGAACGGGAGAACCATCAATTAGCTGATTCGAATTGCCTCGAAGTTTAATCTATGTTCACAAAATTGCATTGTGTTTGTAGAGAACATTTATGAACCGGACATCAAATTTATGGAACGATTAGAAGATCTCACCCACGGAAACGCGGTGCCAGCCGAATGATTTCTGCCGCGACCAGCAACCGAAGCGTCACCGGAGAATGATCGGAGAAAGGCCGGTCTCCTGTGCGAGAAAATTGAATTTGGAAGAAGAAATTCACTGTTATTTAAATCAACCGATGATGATGACTTGTTTTACGTTTATTTCCAACCCAAGTCGTCAATCCATTTTGCGACCCTATGTTTTTTTTGTTTTTTTCCTAAATTGCACTATGTAATGTTTGTGACTCAACTTTTTTTTTTTTTCCAAAAACTCACTTGCATTACCAAGAGAAATAGATATCTATGTTTACAAACCACATAATAACCAAATCCGAAAATCATAACCACAAACACCGGCAGGAAACAAAGAAAGAGCCTTTTTGGCTACCAAATGAGCCACTCGATTGTTCTCCCTGCCTCGAAACCCAACTGAAAATCCTGTGAATAACTCCCGGAGTTGAGATATCTCGTCTAAAATCGCACCACCCCGCCCGTCCCAAGTCACCTGATCCTTGATTTTGGAAATAACAACTTGCGCATCACCCAGGAACGAGACTTCAGTTAAACCCTTCACAGAGCACCAATGAATAGCGTCCCGGAAAGCCATTAGTTCACTCACAAATGGATCTGTCAAACCTGCATACACAAAACCCTAAGCAAACAACACAGTACCCGCTTGATCCTGCACCACCATCCCACCCGCAGCATGGGACCCCACCTTTACCGCGCCATCCACATAACAAACATAAGGCGTACCAACATTCGTCTCTACCCTCCCGCGCACTAAATGGGGATTCACCACCACTCCAGAACCCGACAAGTCCACCCATTCCCTAACCTGCATATGATACTGACGGAGCAAAGCTTCCGTAGAATACTGGAAATGATCAAAAACCACCCAGTTTCTAGATTTCCATATTCTCCAGACCAGCGCCACTATCTGCATGATCCTTGTCGGCTCAGTAATCCGCTCCATTATCCTTCTAAAGACCAACGCTATATTCATGCCATCCAAGCCTTGTCGTTCCGCCACAAAACCACTCCGCATCCAAAGCTCCTCCGCCACCCTGCAGGTTAGAAAAAGATGCTCCATAGTTTCTAGGGGACCCCAACAGACCGGGCACCGCAGGAGATCTACCTCACCTCTCTCACGCAATTCTTCCATAGGAGGCAAAATACTCCTCTCGCTCAATGCTTCCCTAGTAGGCAAAATACGTCGCATCAATTCCCACAGAAAAAACTTCAACTTAGGCGGGATTGGCAAACTCCACATCTTCTTCCAAAAGCTCATATCCCAAAAGGACACTTCCTCCTTCCATCCCCGCAAACCTCGCTGAATCTGAACCGCAGTATGATACCCGGACTTAACAGAATAACACCCATCAACCTCCTTAGCCCAAATTAGCTTATCCTGCACTGGAAGTCTCGGCAACGGGATGCTCATTATCCGCTGCTTAATTTCTGTCGGAAAGCACTGATCCAAACAATCCTCACACCAAGAACCCTCTCCCGGAATAATTAGATCACACACCATGGACATCTCATCAACAGGCGCAGAATCCAAAATAGGCAACTCCTTACCAGCCATCCCCGGAACCCAAGTGTCTCCCAGCACCCGGATAGACTCACCCGACCCTACCTAGTGATATAGCTCCTTACTCAACAGATCTCGACCACACAGAATACTTCACCAACTCCAAGAGGGTCGCGAGCCCGCTCTACCATCCAAAATACTTTCTCTAGAAAAATACTTTTCTTTTAAAACCCGAGCCCATAAACATTCTGGTTCATGCAGAATCCGCCAGGCCACTTTATCCAACAATTCCTGATTGAAATCCTCAAATCTTCGAAATCCTAAACCTCCAGCAAATTTACTCCGACATAAGTTCCTCCAGGACACCCAATGCGTCTTGTTCCCTTCTGCAGTATAACCCCACCAAAACCTAGCCATATGCTTATCCAATTTCCGGCAAAGGGTTACCGGCAACAGAAAACACTCTCTATTATAGCCAAATATAATCCTACTATTATATAAAGTAAGTATATTTTTAATTATCAAATTATACCCTTACTTATTCATATTTATGTATTGTCTTTTCTTCAACTCATTAGACTTAATTTTCAATTATTTAGTAAGTTTGCGTGTACTTTTTTAAATAACATGTAAGTATGGGTTGACCCGCCTAGCCTCATACCCACACAAGTAATACCCATCCCGACCTATAATAGTATGGGGCGGAGACATGGGCATTGCGGTACCCGCCTTGCCCCATTGCCATCACTAGGTAGAGTGTTTGTGCGAGCTGTCTCTCTACAGTTATAAAAGTGTGATCACATTCATTCGTGCAGATTATTGTCAATGGTTAGCATGTGCCAATAACTACACCATCCTAGGCAAAGTTTACCCTAAAATAGTGTTGTCATAAAGTGGCAATCAAGGTCGTATTCACTCGGGTCCTGGTACCCTAGCCTACTTCACACGTTGTTGTTATTTAACCGATCGGTTTAAGTGGTTTGTGTGGAGGATATGATCAAACTAACTAGTCTAGAGAGTAAATAAAGATACAAGCAGGTACTTCGGGGAACTATCCCTCACCCTAGCCTAGGACTACTATGCAATGTCTAGATAATTTGGGTTTGTCGAATGTGGTGAGTGATCTCTTTTCAATGTGCTTTCGTAGTTATCCACACGCCCCCGAGTACGCCTCCCCCAAACCCATGTAAGTCACATCGATCTAGGATATCGTATCTGAGGCATTAAGAACGTAGCTCCTTTCAATGGGGTACTATTCACCATCCACACTGAGGGTTCATCCCGGGTTCTATCTAGGAAGGCATCGCTATGACAGGGGTTCAGTCGCCTCATCCACCATAAGATCCTATTCATACATCTAGCCTCAATTTGCTTGATGACACATACCTGTCTAACCCTAAAACTCCATACCTAACATAGAAGCTCAAGTAGGCTAGTAGAGAATATTAGGGTGACTTACCCAAACACAATCAAAGCTAGAAAAGCATTCAAATCAACTAGATAAACACATTCATTCATTAAAACCCTAAAATATCCATTCATTACATAGTAACCCTAAAACTAGGGTTTTTGGGTTTAGAACCCCTAGTATCTTAGAGGACTACTCCATAAAGGACGAAAGAAGATACATAGAAGAAATTGAAAAAGACTTGAGTTTGAGGAAGATGCATCCTCTCTTCTGGATCCTTCTCCTCTTCTCATTCCTTTAGCTTCTCTCTCTCTCTCTCTCTCTCTCTCTCTCTCTCTCTCTCTCAAATCAGAAATTCTATCACAAAATCAGCTCTCCTGAATGGGGTGAAAGGGTCTTCTATTTATAGGTACCAGAGAATGGAGAAGTTCGCGGCCAGGAAAGGCAGAGATCGCGTGCGCAATCTTCTTCATGGAGGTCGCAATCTTGCAACGCTATCATTTTGGATTTAGAGGACGAGGATTTCGTGGGCTGGCTTCACGGTCGCGATCCACGAGTCACGGCGACGAACTTCCTTGCGGTTAATTTGCACTATGGTCGTGTTCTGACTGGGGAGACTCTCTGTTTCTCCTCGGCCGCGATCTTCGGCTTCCAGGCTGCGTTCTTCACCTTGATTTCGCAGGCTATGATCTTGAGCATGATCTCCATCTCCAGTCTACGATCTTCAGTCTTCTGTCCCTTTTACTACACTTGTGTCTTTTTTTGTACCTAATTCGCATGTATTGTCTAAAGCACCCTTAAAACACATCAAAATCTAATAAGAACGAAATAGGGATGGAATTGACGCTGTTCAAACAATTATGCACATGATTTGGCACGAATCAAGCCTTTATATAAAGGATAAATAACACCAATTTAGGTGTTATCAAAGTGTGTTGTAGTTGTTTAAAACCTCTTGCCTAGATCTCTATTTATAGTACATGGAAGAAGGTATTTTTTGATGTTTTCCTCCTTCGGTTCCGATCCAAGCATCCTTTGTAAAATTCAAACTTGGATGCCTTGACTTGGGGATGAAGAAAGATGTTTCCAAAAGATTCTTTGTGCCTTGGGCCACCGAAGACCACCCGGCAGTCGGAATCATCGTTGGTTTGTTCACGGGCTATAGTTGCTTGGCCCACAAGTAATCTTTCATGCTGATTTGGCCGCAACTTGATGTGTATAGGCTGGTGGAGGCCCAACAGCAGTTGGACATGTCGCTCCTCTAGGGCTCATATGAAGACTTGTGGTGTCTATACTCAATTGGACTTCGTTTAATGTACAAAATTCTCCTTGATCTTCTGGCAATTAATTACCCCTTTGATCCTCCAACTTGATCTAATAGGTGGTCCATAATATCTTATATTGTGGTTTACCTTGAGAAGTACAAAATAATGCCAAAAAGGCAAAAACAATATACTAAAACGCAATATAGGTCTCAAATAACCTCATTAATTAAAATAGTTATGAAATCAAAATAGAATATAGAAAAAACTACTACAGATGCGTTGATAGACGGGGAAATGTATCAAATGTAGGGAGTGATAAATGCTATAATTTGAGAGTTAGCATATGTCGACTAGTGCAACAAAATTTAATCGGTATTGGACACAAACTGGTTAGAAGATCATATGTATGAAGCAGTAGTCAACATCAATAAAAAGTAGTCAACGTCGATCATAAATTAGTTATCACATCAGAATTATCAATTTTTGCCAATCATTTTGGTGGAATTAAATAATAAGAAAAATCCTGTTATTTGTGGGATTGAAGTGTAAACATTTGGATATTGAGTTAATGTTGCATTTAAATATAAATACAATGATTTTTCATTTTGTTAATTATGTGTCATTTAATTTACATATGAATGTATACTATCAAAAAATTATCTTAAAATAGATTATTATATTCAACTCTTTTGGTATTAGTTTGTTTATAAGGACAAAATGCATTGATCAAATATGAGAAGAAGAAGAAAAATACATACAAAATATACAAAACAGAGCACGATGTCTCAAATAAAAGATGATGAGATACAAAACCCCCACAAGAGAAAAAAAACGATAAGGCTTACCAGAAGAGAAGACCAACAAGCAAAAGACAGAACAAGGATGAGGAAACTCTAGACAAGGGAAAATGACAGATAAATAACTAGAATAACACAAATGCATCAACAACCAACGAAGGGAGCCATCATAGCAACCATCCAAAATCCCCCCTGATAACACTGTATTTATACATGTTTTTACCCCTCATTCCTTGATTGTTTAGATTGATGTTTATCCTACTTTGATCTATTTTACGCTAAGTTGCGTTCTGACTCGCCACGGATACACTGCGAATTAATCCCGACTAGAGCCCAAGTTTTTTAGCTCTAGCCGGGTGCAACATAGGGCTAGTATGTTTTAATTGTCAAACCCGATCTGGTGCATGCACCCCTACTTCAATCGCTTAAGTTGTTATCTAGCAAAATGGTTTTGGGTTTAAAACTATGAAAACTACAAATGAAAACAAGCAAGTAAAGTAAATCGAGGGGAACTCTATATGAGAGGACCTCACCCGGGTATTGCTCCCCCTAGTCTCATGTTAAGAATCAATGAACGAAAATCTAGTGTGAAGGGTATGTTTATATACCGCGAGGCGGGTGCAACAAGCTAGTAACGAGCCCTCCTAGTCGATCAATCAAGGATTGCTACAATAAGCTAGCGAACCTAGCACACTTAACCGCTTGGCTAAGGATTGCAACAATAAGCCAAAAGGCCTAGCTCTCCCAAACAAACAACCAAGGAAACCCCCAACTCTCTTAGTTGACCAATTAAGTATTATTGCATTAAGTTAATAGACTAACTCTCTTAACCTTTTGGCTAAGGATGACAACAATAGGCTAGACAATCTAGCCCTCTTAACTAATCAACTAAGGGTTGCAAGACCCAACCCTTGGAAGTTATTCCGGATGGCAGAGAGCGACCAACCATGATGGGATCATGGCACTACTCCAATACTTGAGGTTTTGGCCCTAGATTAACCCAAAAAGGGTTACCCAAGCGGCTAGGAGATCAAGCTCCCTATGGACCAAAGGGGGATTTCCACCTTCTAGGTTAATTTGACCCAATAATAAGATAAAGCAAGAAACACCCAATCATTCATGATTAATACCTCAAATATTATATAAAACACACAATGAACACAATAGAATCAAGTTCTTACATCCTAACACACATCTAGACTAGTATTCACAATAACCAGGTGAGTAGGAAGGCTAATCCATAGCTAGGCAAAGGAAAACAACAAAAAGGAGAGGAAGAACCATGGAGAGATGAAAATCTTCGTTCATTCTTGCTTGAATCTCCATAGAGAAGAAGAGATCTTCAATCCTCTAGCTTGAATTGAGCCCAATCTCCTTCTTCCTCCTTTGAATGACACTTTCTCTCTCTAGAATGGGAAGAAGAAACCCTAATCTCTCACTATCTATTTATACCCAGTCGCGCCCAGTTCACGGTCGTGAACATCAGGCCGCGTCCGTGAACTCTGTGAACTGTGATCAAAACGCGCCCCTTCACTTCTGGGGGTTCACGGTCTTAGCGAACTTGAACTGCCTTGGCGTCAGTAACCTCTGAAACCCCTCTGGACGCTTCAAGGTTCACGGTTTGTGGTTCCAGTTTACAGTCCTAGAGACCGTGAACTGCGGCTGGTTCCTGGACGCCTGCGCTTCACGGTCACAGTGACTTTTCTTGGGTTTTTGTGCTTTTCGACCTCCAATCGTCCCAAAACTCATCCTCGATCCTTCCACACATGCTAGGACCTGAAATGTATCAAAACAAGCACAACCTAGCGTGAAATATGTCGAGGGACGATGAAATGCAAAGCCAAAATATCAAGAAATGTAGGGTAAAATGTGTACAATTGGACCTATTCTCGCAACGCCCTCGTCGCGTCCTCTTGATGGAAAGCCTCAATCAAGTCATTTTTCTTTCAAAGGGTGAGCTCGTTCTTCCAAGTTGCTTAGCTCTCTGGCACGTTGCGCCACTTGACCAAGTACTGCGATGATCTCTTTGACTTCATGGTCATGTGTCTTGGTGACGAGTGTTGGTGCGCGATGTGACTCTGCCCGCCTCTCGTCCTCCTTGTCTTTGTTAACAGCCTTGAGCTGGCTCACATGAAAGACCATATGGATCTCCAAGTGCGGCGACACCTCCACCTTGTATGCCACCTTGCCAATCCTTTTCCTGATAGGGAATGGCCCCTCATAGCGGTGAAGCAACACCTTGTGCATGTTCTTGAGATGCTTGAAGCTATAAGGGTAGAGCTTCATGACACGCTAAATCACAACACCAAACTGCGACCAAGTGTAATCGCAGTTCGGAAATGCAGTAACAGGCAAGCTCTATATGTCAACCCGGGGTCTAGATCTACTGCCTACTCCATAAATATTTAACTAAAAGCAGTAAGACAGCAGGAAATGGTTAGGTTTTCTAAAGCAAGGGAAGTGTCACTCGGGAATGAGTCCCCCTAGCTCCTTAGTTGGTCACAGTTGTAATTACCCTAGGTTGATTAATTGTTGATTAAACTGTGGAAGATCCGACAGTAGCTTGGAATCTCTTAAAATGACGAAGCCATCTCAGTCCAACTACCCGGCAGACGACTAGTCCTAACCGAGATAGAAAGCTGAGGCTATGAACACAGAACTCCACAACTGGAATTGGATTCCAGTACAAAGCTGTAAATCGATTAACTCTCATATAATCAATCTACCACTACCGATTGATGAAACTCTAACAACCTAATCAGATTCTATCTATCTGAGGCTGCAGCAGAAATCAAGAAAAGATGATCATACTTCAATTGACTCAATAAATCATGCATCAATCGATTAAAATCAATCAGTATAACAATCCCAAGTCATTACAATCAAGATCCCTAACACATGGAACTAGGGTTCTTCATACCCAAGTGAGAGAAGGTTCTACTCCATAGAGAGAGAGAGAGAGGAAAACAGAAATTAGAGTAGTCATACTCATAAAGATGAGGATAATCTTCTTCGGGATGATGATCTTCACTCATGGGGATGCAACCTGGGCTTCAATGGGGAGAAATCCACTCCAAATAGCTCCTAGGGTTTGTTCTTCGCACTTTCTCTCTCTAAAACTCTGTTTTTGCTCCAAAAAGTCAACTCTCTCTCATTTGGCTCGAATCTGCCTCAAAACCCCGATTCTGGGCGAAATACGGGCTGAATTACGGTCGTAAACATGGTCTGCCGTATTTCACCCAAAATGCGCGTTTCACTTAACTCTGATGAGGGGAATTACGGTCGTAATTACCCAATTACTGCCAGTATTTGTGGAATTACGACCGTAGTTCATTTTGATCTTGCCCGTAATTTGATCTTCGAAGGCATTCTTAGGGTTTTCGCTCGGCATTGCATATACGGGCAGGGCAGAGGCAATTACGCCCGTAATTGGCAGGGGATGCCTGTATTTCTTCCCCCGCTCCTGTTTAATGCTTCGTTTCTCCCTCGTCCGGAATCCGAATCAATCGTCGTTTGATCCCAAACGCTCGTAGTCTCGTCCTCTTTCTTTTCATGACAAGATTTCATGATTATTTATCCATAATATGCGATAGAAATCCATTCTTCCTCAGGTCATGCTCGTGTTTCTTCTCCCGAATTGCCAAATGAATTCCGATTGACTTGAAACTTGCGCCTTTGCTTCAATTTAGATACTAGGACCTAAAATGTGACAAAGGAACACAATCTAGCGTAAAATAGGCCAAGACACCACAAGTTTGAGCCAAAATGGTTAAGAAACAAGGGTGAAAACATGTGCAAACATGACGCTATCAAATTCCCCCACACTTAACTGTTTGCTTGTCCCCAAGCAAACCAAGTCAGATACAAGGAAATCTCAACACATTTCAATCATGCAACCCTTGGGGACATATCATATAGGCACGAAACACGTGAATCATACTGACTTTTGATCATTAACACATGGACAACTTCAACAGCAACCTGGACAACCACCACAGAGGACATTCGAGTGCAGCAAAATCGGGTAAAGGAAGAGTCTCCCTTCTGTTCACTAACCAACATAGACTCGACTCAACCACTTAGCCAAGACAGTCACTTCATGCACAAAACTCTAGATATCAGAATTAAGACCGGGCAATCTAGGTCCTCACCGGAGTAAAGAGTATAGAGAATATGAGAAAATGAATCGCTCACTCTCGACCAGTGGGGTCAGGACAATTTTATGCGAAAAATGTGCATGCTTATTCTCTCAATCCCTAACGTCTCTTCACCATGAAGGCAGCCTCTAAATGTTAGAGTTCACATATTGGGTGTCACCACTAACTAATTCGGAGGTCTTAGACACAGGTTCAGATGACTGGCTAGGGTCTTGGACATGGGGAAAAGGCCTTTTAGGTGGTGGAAGTATTCATAGCACTAGGTTCCACAGTTCCAAACCCAACACAATCACAGTCAATCAAACCACTTACTTTCTTTCTGCCATTCTGCATTACTCAAATTCTTTAGAGCACAAGAGCGAAGGAGGTCATAATAATGTTAGTATTTCTAAGCCAGACTGCTAAGAAGCACTACTTAATGAGCATGATTCATATTTTTGGTAGTGGCTCTCTTTAGCTTTCATCCAATTTTTTTTTCAATTCTTGAGAGAACCACCACCTCTGCACATTTTTCAAACTCACGCCCAACTTTTAAGCATTACCTCCAACCCTCACATTATATTTAGCAAAAATAGCAGAAAACATGCAAAAACCACTCTGTGGAACCTTCTAAGAGATGCAAAACGGTGATTTTCCATTGTAGACCTAAAGAAAGAAAAGTGCACGGCTCAAAGGGGCTGACTAGGGGGTATGACACACCAGGACAGTCAGTTTGGTTGTGGGCTAATCCTATGCCTCCATCATCTTAGCTAGTGGCAACGTGAATGCTACACATCATGGAAGAGGGAACTATCGCACAAGAAAGAAACGAGCAGGCTCAAATCTCACATGGCTACCTATATGCTCTATCTCTCATTTTGATTCCCTGAACTAGATGCATAAACGACTGTCAAGAGCAAGTGATCAATCCAAGTCACAGTTGGTAAGCAAACAGTTGAAAAACTGAACTCCTACACAATTCTACTGCATGTCTCAGTCATCATTATAGGTTGTCTTAGTCACAATCCAGTGTCATGCATCAATTCGAAAGCTACTCAATTCACCAATCAAACCCATGGTGCCAATATGATCATGCAAACATTAGTACTTGGAATGGACCAGTCCAACTGGCACAGAGCTAGAGTCATGAAAACACACACACTGGGTGAAAGAAACCATAGTTCCAAGTGGAAACCGAAAACAAACAAAATAAAAACAAACCGTGGTGGGGTTGCCTCCCCACAAGCGCTTATTTACCGTTGTGAGCCGGACGGTGGCTCCTAAGTTTTGGTCCATGCTAGAACTTCCTTGAAGTTGAGATTCTCGTCGATGATGTGGAGTCTCAAGTCACAAGCAGGTGGTATGACAAGTGATGTAGGCTCGTGTACTTGATTAATATGAAGTCTCCACCCGCGAGACCTCTTCTTTTCTTTCTCACTCGTCTCATTGCCCTAAACCAGATATGACAGTATCGACTGACCACCATCGCGTCCACCAAGAGGGACCGATATCGATGTGGCCTTGGTCTGGCAAAGAGACACTGCAAATGGGTCCTTGCCAAGCAGCTCCTCGAAGTTTGGTGGAGATATCACATGAAACTCATGGCCGGTGCAAGCCTCTTCCACCTCAACTTCATCCTCGGCCTGGACACCACTCTCTTCTTGAACCCCCTTCCTTCCTCATAATTTGATTCCTCTCCTGGGAAAAGATCCAGGACTTCCTCTAATTCACTTCCGTCATCCTCCACAACTTCTTTCCTCATCCTTTCTCGCTCTTCTTCTTCTAGCACGGATTGGAGAGCAAGTCGCCATGCAATCTTTTCAATAAGATCAGCTTGCATCTCCTCACTCATGCCAGCCTCTTCAGCGCTCGGTGTACGGTGCAGAAAGGGATGGGCGGCTACAACAGGACATTCTAATCATGATCATCACGGGAGCTCTTCGTGACAACTTCTGTATGCTCCACGACATCCTCATGATTGACTTCTTCCTCCTTCTCTGCTTGTATTGTAGCATAAAGGTTGTCTTGAGAAAACTGTGCAAAAGCTTTCTCAATTACCTCTATGTGCTTCTTTATGCTTCGAAGGGTCTCCTCTGTTTCACGGGGAAAGGAGAAGTCAGTTTGGGACATGGCCTGGATATGAGGATCCATCTCGGGAAAGGATCTCTCAGGTACTTGAGCAATCTGCTCCATGAGAAGCCTCAAGTGATAGTTTGGATCTGGCTGTGGAGTGTAACATGGCTCTGTCGGATGGCCCGTGAAGGCTATGGCTAAATCAAAATCTGATGGCCCTTCTAGTTGTGGGAGGAATTCTTCTTGATAAGGAAATTGTTCTTCGTAGTAGGGGGTTGGTACTGAAACCCGACTACATAGTCTTCTCCTCCTTGGGTGCTCCAGGAAGTCTCGTGGTAATACCACTCGGGTGGTGGTGGATACCCCCAATGGTTGGAGAAGCCTTGAGAATCCATGTATCAGATCTGCACCAACAAAAACAAAATACCCAAGTGAAAAGCAAGGGTGGAAAAGAGAGGATGCATAAAAGTAAATGCTAAAGTAACAAACTTTCACGTTTCTACAATAACCTAGAGGTCACCGGCAACGGCGCCAAAAACTTGACACGCTAAAACACAACACCAAACTGCGACCAAGTGTAATCGCAGTCCGGAAATGCAGTAACAGGAAAGCACTATTTGTCAACCCGGGGTCTAGATCTACTGCCTACTCCGTGAATATTTATTATCTAGCAAACTAAGTTGAGTGATTGTGATTTTAACTAAAAGTATTAAGAAAGCAGGAAATGGTTCGGTTTCTAAAGCAAGGGAAGAGTCACTCGGGAATGAGTCCCCCTAGCTCCTTAGTTAGGTCACAGTTGTAATTACCCTGGGTTGATTAACCGTTGATTAAACTGCGGAAGATCCGACAGTAGCTTGGAATCTCTTAAGTTGACGAAGCCCTCTCAGTCCAACTACCTGGCAGACGACTAGTCCTCAACGGGATAGAAAGCTGAGGCTATGAACGCAGAACTCCACTACTAGAATTTGATTATAGTACAAAGCAGTAAATCGATTAACTCTCGTATAATCAATCTACCACTACCGATTGATGAAGCTCTAACAACCTAATCAGATTCTATATATCTCAGGTTGCAGCAGAAATCAAGAAAAGAGGTTCAGACTTCAATTGACTCAATAAATCATG